AATTGATGGTACACAATTGAAATCTTTCGACAAAGTGAAGCAGCACTGAAGGCACTCATCTATGCCAAGAAATTTGGAAGTCAACTACCTGGCCAACTGACTGAAAAAGATCTGTATTTGTGCCCATTCCAAAGAGAGGTGACCCAACGGAATGCGGAAATCATCAGACAATATCACTGATATCCCATGTGAGTAAAGTTTTACTAAACGTAATACAGAAACAGCTGCAAGCATACATTGACAGAGAACTACCAGAGGTTCAAGCTGGATTCAGAAGAGGACATGGAACGAGGGATAGCATTGCTGATGTCCAATGGATCTTGGTTGAAAGTAGAGAATGCCAGTGTTTTGGCACTATCTTATTTTTTCTCAGCATTTTTTAAAAATCTTTTTTTCTTTTGAATCACTGCAGTATAACTTATACCCAAACTATACCATTCTGTGCTATCAGTATTTCCCAGTGTTTTGAAATACTCATGAAGTCAAAGCATCATTACCTAACTTCAGGGCTTCAAACACTTTGGAGAAATTTGAATTCCACTAGTAATAAACAACCAGCTCCTCAGTATATTATGTTGTATCAACATGACAGAAGTATAATCAATCTATACTACGGGAGAGAATACTGGTGTTGATAATAAGCACAGGACCACAGTCGGTTTGAACTGCAAGGTCGGCAATTCAAATGCTCCAGCTGTTCCTCAGAAACCCTATACAAGGTCGCTATGAATTGGAGTCAACTCAATAGCACTTAACAACAACTTAAGAAGAAAGGAATGCTGACCCTCACAAGAATTTCATTACCACACAAGTATACAAAGCTTTCATAATCATTCATTTTGCACTGAAACACAAAACCAGTTGGACAACCAGGTTTTGAAGTCACTTAGATTAGCATTCACAGGGACTGTTAGGAAGGATAGCCCAGAGAGTCTTAGTAATTAAAACAACTGTTGACTCTCTTGTTCTTGAAAACCATGATGTGAGCATTCAGACGCGTTAAATGTGTTTTCTTTCCCAGAAGTTCCCCTTTTAAACATTATCATAGTACAGCAGAGTTAACGAGAGAATAGAATCCAAGGCCAGGCATCTCTTAAATTTATTGGAAGATTTTTCAGTTGGGGAGGAAAGATTACAGGCTTCATTAAACAAGATAGAAGATAAAAGAACAATTAATTGTAAATCATTACATTAAGTAATCATTACATAAGAATTCGAGTCACTGCTAAAACAAAAAAGACATTATAGTGCATCCTGGAGTTCGTATTCTGGTGAGTATATTAAATTACTGAAGAGGAAAAAGACAGTTACTGTTACATAGTTCAAGATCTTAATGTAATAACTCAACACAGTCAAATAAACAGCTACACTTATTCAAAGCTGCTTTTAATATAGGTCAGGTATATTAAACAAGAATATGGATTACTTTTAACACTGCACAAGTAACCAAAGGTGGCAAATTCAGCAATACCGAAGCCTGATATTAAATAGTCTCTAAACAGTACAAAAACAAAACAAAACAAAACAAAAAAACAAGCTTCGACAGCTACAACCCTACCCATACAAAAGGAATGTACATGGATGAGAACAAATAATAAATAAATAAAGTGCCGTGAGTGACTAATACTGCCTCTGCAGCTTCAACGCGGGCACACGGTTCACGGGGACATGCTCAAAGGGTTCTTTTGCTGAAAACGACAACAAAAGGCATTTCACTTCAGTACAATTTTTGAATTCTCACCAGAAGCTCTAATTCTCTCCTGCTGGTGACAGGTACACAGGGTTTTAAAAGGAAAGTCTTCTCCCTACACCCTGAGTATGGATACATTATTTTAAAAAAGAGAAGTTACATGGAAAGTTTCCTTTCAAAAAATGCAAAATTTAAAGTGATATGCAGATGACAAATGGTCACTGATACTTTCTGGAAGGAAAATATTGGCTAGGTAATTAAAGCAGACATCTGAATCTGGGTTCTAAGCTGACAAGACTCAACTGTGCATTTGGGGAACATACACTAATGTCAAAGTCACGTGTTCCAACTTTCACTTTATTACAAGGTGCACTTAGTAAGCAACTAAAAATACTTATTTAAGCAAGATTAAAATATTATGAATTGGATTAAATCACATTAAATACCTGAAAGGGTTAAGTACGACATGTTTCAAAGTATAAAGCTGTTATCACAAACGAGGGGGTTTCAAAAAGTTCCTGGAAAAAGTCCATAACCTTTTAATTCCATTTTTTCCAGGAGTTTTTTTAGAACTCCCTCATGTTTCTCAAAGGTTTTATAACTCCATTAAGTTATATCAAATCATCAAGAGATAGTGTCGGTTTCTTCGGTGATTTAAAAATGAAGCATTCCTTTTGTATAAATCAGGAAATATTTTCAAAATCAACATATGCCTAAAATATAAATGTAATTTACGTTGGTTAGGAAAAGGCAGATACGAAATGTTAGCGCATTTCAGTCTAAAAAAACAATGTTGTAAAAAACCCTATCAGACCTCTCTCTCATTTTCATTCCACATACCCCTCAATAGTTCCTGAATTAATTAATAGAGAACTCAGCTCAATGAACATCACAACCTTTTAGAATTCTGAATAAGACATGGTATTTCATAAGGACCAAAATGAATACAATGCCAATACTACACTAAAAATAGATCAAGCAGATCTGTAATAAAATAAGTGAGGGCTGAGCAACCCAACAGATGTAGAAAGTCTTTGGAAAAATCACATACACAAAGTGCTCTGAGACAAAAGCAAGCTTAGACTATACTTGATGAAAGATAAGGCTCCAAACACAAATGTTTTCTCTACAGAAGCTTCACTCACACTTCTCCGAACACCTGCCAATATTTAATATTCTTTTTATTATGCCCTTGTACTGAACTAATATAAATGTGGTGCTCCACTATTGATGATACTAAGCATGCTAACACCTATGACTGCTCTGTCATTACACAGTGGTTAAATAAGGGAACTCTGAGCACAGCAGAGCTCCAAGGGGAAAAACAACAACAAAGTAAACAAGGATATGAGGGAAAATATTATTACCAAAAGAGAAATAAACAAACATTTTCAAGTACTGAAAGTTTTGCAAAACAAATATATATATATATTGTCACCTTAGTTTAAAAGAAATTCAGAACTCAGTTTTGCTGTTGATCAAATAAACATACATACACCCAAGTTTTTAAACGCAATTTGATAATCAATATACTTATAAAATGCAATCTAAAACTAAGAATCAATTAACCCCTGTGATGGGTAACAAGAGCAAATATTCCTGTGCCTAATGTCTAGAAGTCCAGTTCAAGTGTCCAGAGTTGCTGCACCTCAAGCTCTGAGACGCTAAAGACAGAATCAATTCTGGACTCTGCATTCCTCTCCTTAGCAAACATTTGAGGACATTTTCGCAAACATCTATGTTTAATCTTTGTCCTATTTCTATGGCCTTAAAATTTAAAAACCCAAAGCTTATAGTATACTCTCAGAAAGTACTTTAATAACTTTTGGCATTCTTCTTAAAAAGCAAATCTAACTCTTTCAGTATAAAACACATTTTTTTACTATAATTAATTAGTTCTAAATTATGCAAGTGCCTTTATTTCCTGCCCCTTGCCTTCCATACTTTGTGCAGCTTCTAAACAGTGCTCAAGAAAAAAGAAAGTTAATAACACAAAATCAAACTCCCTACCCAAAAGTGATTCACCTTAGATCACGAAGTCTATAAGGGAGAACCAGACTTTCACAAACCCCTAAGACCAAGATACAATCTCGGTCTGATCATGTCACCCTGCAGTTTCTAAAGACAAGGCAGTAAAAAATGTCAAGTCCAGAAAGCTCATGGCAGAGAACTTTACCAAAGAGCGCAGGTATATTTTATCAGGAGGAGGGAAAATATCCCCACCTTTCCAGGAAAAACTTACTATCCTTCCTTGGTGGGAAGGGAAGAGGGTGTTTCAAAAGTCCAGTAATTAAAAATATTTTTGGAGTTTCCTAAATTCACTTCTTTATTAATTTTTAATTTTTCAACAAGTTTTATAATTTGAGCTAGCTTTTATTTGTAGAATAAGTGGGGGACATGAAACAAAGAGAAATAAAAATTGTTGCTGCACCATTTTTATAGGTTATTCTACTTAATGAATCTTTTTCATGTTAATGGTGGATTTCTAACCAAATTTGTCAAATACAAGAGGACACCTGCATGTCAAGGTGCTTCTTCACACACACACACAGACACGTCATGTATGGGCACGCACACATGCACACACACTTTACACACACTTGTATGGACACATGCACACAAACCCTTTCACACTAAAACCATCAGCAGCATCAGTACATAATGTCATCTGACGTAAGGCTGTGGGAACAATCACTTAGGGTGCTTGTAGAAACCTAAAATACTAATGTTTCTACTAAGAAATTAAATGGTTTAGGGGATTACAACGGTTACTAATAGCTGAGCTATGAAATTTAGCTGATTTTTAAAAAAGGACAAAACATCTTCCAGATGAACAGAGTCAGCTCCAGTGTCATTATTTGATATCAGATTTGTTTTAAGTGGGAAGTCATATGTTTGCAATGGAGCATACCTGCGTCTCTAATTGTAGGAAGCAAAATTGTAACTCTCTTCCTGGAACCTATCCTCAGCCACCTTCAGTGCAATTTCTAGCAGCACTATTGGGATGCAAAAAGAATGCCATGGGACAATGCCCCTGGAAATCTCATGTTTAGACCTTCCTTCATACACATCTTGTTAGGGTCTGAACACAAGACAGATGGACAGAAGAAGAAATGAAGATAATATCTTGACAGAGATTATAAAAGTATGTACTATATACACCATGTGACACAATCATTTAAAAAGCTGTATTTCCTTTCCTCTCAATGCCAGTCAACATTTCCTAGTCAAAGGTTACCCCAGTTATCTTCCTCTGTCTCTTCGCCCCCTCCCAAAACAAAGAGCAGCATCTATTGGTTTGGCATTTGTTCTATGCATTTTCCATGAGCCAATCAAACAGCGACTTCCATTGGTCCTCGCTGGTCTTCTCGGTCACGTCATAGTATTTCAGCACAGCCTGAAGGACATCTCCCACTTTCCATCCTTTTTCTTGTAATCTCTTTGAAAGCTGACAGAAAAAATAAAAGGTAAGCCAAACATTAGTCAAAAATAATTTTATAACAAAGTTTCCACTTCTGCTTTTCACATTAGACAAAACTAAGAATCCTGCTGTTTACAATGGAATGCTGCTTCCCAGTTATAACAGCCCTAAACCACTACCCCTTCACCCAAATTAAACAGTCTTCCTTCCTGGCCTTCATAAACACATCTCCTCCACAGAATGATACTTTGGGATTGCTGGAGACAACCCCACACACCTTGCCCAGCTGGTCAGAGAACAAAGGGCACATTTCTACAGGAAATTCTTAACCAAACTCTACCACACCCTCAATTCAGAACGTAAAATGTAAAGACAGCAGTCAGGTTTAATAAAAGGATACAAATTTTCCTTCCATAGCATACAGTGTGTTTTTTTTTCTGGAATCCACACTCTAGCCTCACCGGGACTTTCTAAATTAAGAAATTTTAATGTCCCAAAAAAGGAATGAAATTAAATACAGGTTTAAATAAACTCTGACTTCAGCAAGCAGAACATGCTTCTACTCATTTTTATCTATTATTAAAACTAGTTTAATGTTTTGTATAATGTAAAAAATTTCAACAGTTCTAAGGATTTCTGGTGTGGCCTGTGGGATTTAATGAGCCAGATTGCAAAGCCGTATGAATTGCAAGGTTGGTGGTTTGGTGGTTCGGTGGTTCAAGCTCACCAGCTGCTCCTCAGAAACCCTATACAGGGTGGTTATGGATCAGAGTTGACTCCACAACACTTTAACAACAACTGATAAATAGTTCACATAACAAACAATTCATCTATTTGAAGTGTATAATTCAATGGTTTTTAGATATTTACTGAGATGTGCAACTATCCAAATCAATTTTGTAACACCTTCATGACACACAAAGAAATACTACACTCTTCAGCATTCACTCCACGTCTCTCCCCCAATCCCTCAGCTCAAGGCAACTACCAATGTAGTTTCTGTCATAGGCCTACCAGTTCTGGTCATGTCACATAAATGAAATAATATGCTTTATCCTGTGACTAGTTTCTTTCACTTATCATAGTATTTTCAAGGCTCGTATGCTTTCTGTCCATAACATGTATCAGTACTTCCTTATTATCATCAAATAATACACAACTGAGTTTGGTAAAGAATCTCCTGTAGAAATGTCGCCTTTGTATTCCCACACAGACTGACCAGCTGGGGGAGGTGTGTGGGATCGACTCCAGCAATCCTAAAGCATCAATGACATAGACGCCATATTTGAGCTATAGCTCACTTTGTGCTATTATGGATAACACATTGGTAAGAACATTCATGTCCAAGTTAATGTGTAGACAACATTTCTAATTCTTTTGGGTATTTGCCTACGAGCATAACTGCTGAATCATATGCCTTTCCAGAGGAAGATGGTCCCAATTTCTCTACATCTTCATCAACACTTACTATCTAACTTCTGGATTATAATCATCCTGCTGGGGGTAAAGTGCTATCTCCCTGATGGATGACTAATTACATTTGTTGGTCATTTGCATATGGCCTTTGGAGAAAAGTCTATTGAGATCATCTGCCCATTTTTAATTACTGAGCTACAGGAATTCTTTATATATTCTAGACAAAAGTCCTATCAGACACACAATCTCTAAGCGTTTCCTCTCATTTCATGGGTTACCTCTTCCTTTTCTTGACATTTTTTTGAGCATGAAAGTTTATTTTGATGAAGTCCAATTTACCTATTTTATTTTTTCCCTTGTATAAACAGATTTGACTTTTACACTTGCCTATTCCTACACAAGACACCCTGGTAGCACAGTGGCTAGGAACTCAGCTGCTAACTAAAAGGTTGGTGGTTCAAACACACTAGCTGCTCTACAGAAGAAAACTCTCATTTCGGCTGCAAACTGCAAAGTTGGAGGTTCAAGTCCCTGTGAGTCAGAAATGACAACTGGCTCTGAACAATTATCTGTTACCTTCCAGTTATGCTTATGGTAATAATGCTTGTACTGTTGAAAGGTAAAAATATTAGGGTTAATAGTGCACAGGTATGCATCCCTTAAAGTCTGTCTGAGCAACGATGGACTGCATCCATCCATGGACCCAGAGATTTTGAAGGTTTTTTTTTTTATTTTTTAAAGGGAAAGCAATGCTTCTTTTGTTTATTATTTCCCCCTGGGGGGTATAAGGTATCTTGGTGTGGTGCTGTGCAATAAGCACTAGCCACAAGGTCCATTTAAACTTCAAGGTCAGAGGTTCAAATCCACTAGCCGCTCCTCAAAAACCCTATACACAGTGTTGCTAAGAGTTGGAAGCAACTCATTGCCATTTAACAGCAACAGTGGGTTTAAAAGCTCCAAACCCCTAGTGTGAGTAAGTGGGCTCCAGGGTGATCCTCGGTGGCCAGGATGGCCAAACTTCCTCTTTCATGCTTTGGACAACCACCACAGGGCAATCTCAATCCCCACATCGCCAGAGGCGCCCTTTCTCCTCCTCCTCCTCTTCTCCTGGCTGCTTCTACTCTCTCCACCCCTGCCAGTCAAGGCAGTGTAGGCGGGGCCGGGATGCTCACAGACTCCCAGCTCCAGGAAGCAGAGTCTGCACATGATCAGGAAGTGAATACCTCTCAGCATCCCTGTGTCCCGCCTCCCCCCTCCCTCCACAACACACACACACACACACACACACAAAGTCCTGGCACTGCCCCTGCTTAGTCCAGTCAGACACTGAGCAAGGCCAGCAGCCTGTGGATGCAGTTGCCTGGGTTTGTCCAGTGCACTCCCATTTGGTTTCAATATAATGGAATCTGTGTGATGCTGTAGGATAAGCACTGGACTGCTATCTATGAAAGGTTGGCGTTTCAAACCCACCAGGCTCTCCTTGGAGAACCTATGCAGAATTAATATGCACTGAACCTGACTCGATGGCACTTAACAACAACAATAATAATAGGCTTTACTGGAACTTGTCTATAAATGGTACAGGGATTGCTTGCATCTAATACGGTGTTTTCACAACCCACAAACTGCATAACATCCTACTTCACAGAATGTATCGTGGATGCTAAGTGACACATACATGAATTATCCAGAAACAATGTTCCTATCATCATCATAATCACAAAAGATGTCCTTACTTGCCTCTTAACTACTTCCTAGTTGCTCAGCCATCTAGTCTACAGCCCTGTGAAGCTCTTGCCAACATGGTAAAAGAGGGTCATTATTTAAAATAAGCTGCGACAGACATTGTTATCAAAGACACCTACACTAGGTTATATGAGGACAAGGTCTCCTTTCAGCTCTACCCAAGGCCTTCCTTAGCCTTCAGTTCACCCAAGACTAAATGACTCTTCAAAATGTTTATCTCACCAAAATCAACTCTAGCATTTCCATGACATGGTCTTTGCCTTTGATAATTCATTTCCAAAGCATCCCTTTCTGTGCTATGTTCTCCTTCTGTCTAAAAAGAAACACCTACACTGCAAGAGGAGTCGCTGGAAGGGAAAACAGATGAACAGATAACCCGTTCCGCTGCTAACTGATATGATGGAGGTTCAGGTTCAACCAGAGGCGCCACAGGAGAATGGCTTCACTTCTGAACACTCAGCCATTGAGCACAGTTCTACTCAGGCACTATGAAACACCAGTGACTTGACAGCACTTTTTTTTTTACTGGAAAAATCCAAGAGTATAAAAACATACACACACACAGTCTTCTTCAGATTTTTGTAAATTCTGGACCAGAAATCAAGAGCAACCTTAACAATTGTTCCTTTTTATTATTATTACTGATCTATCTAAATTGACTATTTATTAAACTATCCTATTCCCCATAATAAGGAGCTCTGGTAGCGTAGTGGTTACGAATCGGGCTGCGAACCTTAAGGTCAGCGGTTCAAAACTACCAGCTGCTCCGCGGGAGAAAGATGAGGCTTTCTACTCCCATAAAGATTTACAGCCTCGGAAACCCTGTACAGGGTCGCTATGGGTCGGACCCGACTCAACGGCACTTAACAACAACAACAACATTCCCCATAATAAGATTAAAGTCATAGTTCTAATAAAAGTTCTGGGACAAACCTCAGGACAAGTAAACTGGAGAACATGACTAGTAAAGGGCTTGGCACACAGTAAGTCTCAATAAAAGTAACTTGCTGTTGTTGTTGTTATTAAGTGCCGTCAAGTCGGTTCCGACCCATAGCGACCCTGTACAGGGTTTCCGAGGGTGTAAATCCTTACAGGAGTAGAAAGCCTCATCTTTCTCCCACGGAGCGGCTGGTAGTTTCGAACCGCTGACCTTAAGGTTTGCAGCCCGATTCGTAACCACTACGCTACCAGAGCTCCTTAACTTGTTAGTGTATCAAATCCAAATGTTATTAGATGTCTAAACTTTTACTGGCTTTTGTTTGTGCCAGATTTTCACACAATGAAACTGGATCAACAGAGAAAGAGACATACTGACTACTAAACTCAATTATGAATCTATTACATATAAAAAGAATAACTCAAACTTCCACATGAGAAACAATTCAAATTGCGATTAATAATGCCTAATTTTGAGAACGTCGTAGGTTCAAGCTCACCAGCTTGGACCTATACAGGGTCGCTATGGGTCGGAATCGAATCAATGGCACTTAACAACAACTTTGAGAAGCAGTGTGGCTCTGTGGGTTAGTGCGCCAGACTGCAAAGACGTTTGAACTGCAAGGCTGGCAGTTCAAGTTCACCAGCTGTTCCTCAGAATCGTTATACGGGTCACTATGGGTTGGAACCAACTTGACGGCACTTAACAACAACTGTGAGAACATAGTGTGTGTCATGCACTAGCATAAGCAATTCCTTTACAGCATCACAATCACCATACATAGTAGATACTTACTGGTATGAACTCCTTGGCCGACTCATGGAAATAAAGTTCTGCAACTTCAGCCTCAGAGGCAACGAGCCACTGAAGAAGAATCCTCAGCTGGGGGTCTACCGTGCACAATTCCATGTCAATATTTGTAATCAGCAGAGTTGGTCCATCTTGCCCCAAGCCTAATATTTAAATTTAAACAACATGAAGTGAAACTCGTCAATTTAACACAACACTCATGTTTCTAAGGATTTGTAAATGTTAAGATTCCAATGAACGCCGACAAAAAAATTTAATCTTTTCCTAATCATGTCATAACATGAAATAAAACATTTACGTTGCAAGGGCAAAATAATGTGAAAACAATGAAGCATTTACTGCTAGCACAAATGCAAAGCATGATTTTGCTATACTGATTTCTAGTACTGTAAATGTCATACATTGTGCCAAAATATAGTCTACAAGTAAAAAGAGAGAAAACAAAACTGTATAAAGGTATCTTTATAATGCAAATATAGATGAAACACCAAAATAGAAACCTCACATAAAAAATGTACTTTCAGCTGTTTGCCGGCAGTCAGCTGCTGGTGGCTGGCAGGCTTATAGAATGTGCCCTTTGGTTGTTTAAATGATTATATATCCCTGAGTGTTTTTGTGTACCCACCATAAAAAAAAATTGAGAGAATAGAATACTGTTGAATGATGATGCAGAGAGGAGATTGTAATCATTGCAATGAAACGATCGATGAGTGTAAAACTGATGTCTACCCCCTGCCCCCATGTAAACTATTACTCAATTCACCATAAAAACTTAAAAAAATAAATAAATAAAGTACTTTAAGAAAGCATCCTGGACTATTTGCACTGGGAAAATCTGCTGCAATAAGACCTCTTTAAAAAAATGTTAAAAAGCAAAGATCTCACTCTGAGGACTAAGGTGCGGCTGACCCTAGCCATGGTATTTTTAGGTATGTAATAGCCAGGAAACGAGCAAGGAAGGCCAGGAGAAGGAACAAATCTATCTTGGAAGAAGTACATCCAGAATGCTCCTTAGATGAGAGAATGGAATGGTTTCATCTCACATACACTGGATATGTAACCAGCAGGGGTTAGTCAGGCTGGGTAAAGTGAAGGTCAGTGAAAAGGAGGAAGACCATTATGGAGATGGACGGACGTAGTAGCTGTGACAGGGGTACAGTAAATCACTCTGCCCCTAACTGAAAGGTCATCAGTTCAAACGTACTACCATCCACTCCACAGGAGAAAAAAGTGGGCAGTATAGCCCACCAAGACTTACAGCCTTGAAAACTATCTCACCACAGGTTTGTTGTGAGTTGGAACTCACCAGCCAGTAGGGGGTTTATTGTTTTGTTGTTGTTGCTGTTCAGCACATGCTTAGCACTCCTACTCCATGACACTGATGATAAGAGCTGCTTATCACGGGCCTTCCTACACAACAAGGGGTGTGGGCCTTCCTACACAACAAGGGGTGTGAGCACACTGGCAGGCTGGTGACATCTCAGCAGTTTGTCCCATTCTTGGAGGCACTGTAGATGGATGTCCTTGTATTTTACACTTCATTGGGTTACTACAGGGCTACTAGAATGGGTTGTTGTTAAGTGCTCTTGAGTACAGCGTTTCCAAGGAGCGGCTGGTGGCTTTGACCTGCTGACCTTGTGGTTCACAGTCCAGTGCTGATCCTACAGCACCACACCAGGAGTGCTTGTCATTTTTTTAGTATTAGTGTTGTCCCTTAATTTTTGATTTTATATATATATAAAGATGTGACCTGCATGGTTATCTTAAGATAAATGCATTGCCCTTATTCTCCCTCGCCCGAAAACGACTTCCAAAAAAAAATGACTGTGGCTGTAAGTCCTCCAGACTCCATGGGCTTAGCCCCAATGCCTGTCTCCTGCTCCTGTTGGTACTTACGGTCAGAGCTCCGGCTGCACAGCCTGACAAGAAATATCAAGCATCTCTCTAAAGGACTGACACGCTGCAGTTACAACAATTACAAAGAAAGAAACAGATTTGTTGTCTTAGCAGTCCCACCATTTGGAATCTCTGTATAAACCTAGACCAATCTATCTCCTAACTTGCCATTTTCTTATTAACAAATTCAAAATGCAGCTACAACTTACACATAATAACAAAAGCTGAATAATGACACATCTGCACATGACCCTCGAGGAGATGGATTGGCACAGTGCCTGCCACATTGTGAGACTGGCTCAGGAATGGGCAGTGTTTCGTTCTGTTGTGCATCTGGTCGACTCGATGGCACCTAACAACATATAGGCCATATAACCAACCTTACTAATTTCTATACATTCACAACAGAAGTTCTGAATCGCTTGGCTAGTTCCAAAAGTAAAAGTGTTTATTTATTTTTTTAATGAATTTATATTAACTTCTTTTCTCTTAATCATTACTCAGGCAAAGTTAAAAAGTAAGAAGTAGTTCATTAGGGAAAATAACCTTAACACGCATTAATATCATATACAGCCTCTGGTGGTACGTCTGGAAAGTAGACAGATTTTCTAGACATAGTTAGTAATTTTTCAATGACCAAAAATAAAACAAGTATTATAGAGCTTATCAATAATTCTGAAATCACTGTCTTACTTCTAACTACATCTGATGAGAAAAAAAATAATTCTAAGTAGCCCTACATGAAGAATATCATCTTAAAATTACTGGTTCAAATGCAAATATCTCAAACAGCAGATATGTGTTCTGCATATGCTACTCTATAGAAGACATTATTGATGTTTTCATAATTATGGACAAACAAAATTTTTAGGAAAAAAAATCCAAACATCTGAATATAAAGAAAATTCAGCTTCAACACGGAAAATTTCTAGATTCACTCAGACATGCTAGTATTTTTTTTTTTTTATTTAGATTACAGTCCATGGTCCCAAACTCTTAGCAACTTACATATCTGGAACTATGTTCCTTAAAGGGAGACTTGAATGTTTTCTTCAAGGATGCGTATGCATGAGTGTAGGGTCGGAACTGGGGAAGGGACTGATTTAGAAGTATTTTTTTGTTTTTGTTTACTGATTCATGTATGTTCAGCACTAAAACACAGAGGAGACTTGTGTGCTGTTACAGTGCTGACCAGGTTTCAGCAGAGCTTCCAGACTCAGATAGACTAGAAAAACCGAGCTGGTGATATGAGTCATAAAACCAGCCAATGAAAATTCTACACATCACAGCAGTCTGATTCACAACCAATTATGGGGCTGGCGAAAGGGAGCCCAGGCAGCACTAGGTACAAGGTCAGTGGCAGATAACAACGACCCTTCTGCAATATGAGTAAGGAGTTCAGAATTTTTACTCTGAGTAAGATCATCATAAACTTTATCTCTCAAATGTTTGAATAATTCTCTTGAAATATTTTAGTGTTTACATCAATGAATAACTTTGTTTAGCAATCTAGCAAGAAATCAGAAACTGAACAAAGAAAGCCAGTTGAGGAATACATGGATTTGTAATGTTTTCACGTATCACAAAGGGCCCCTATGATGAAAATACACAAACACTACAGGCTGGTGCAGGGAACCTCACACACACAAAAAAGCATGCAAACATCCAGAAAAGTACAAAATGTCAATTACCTTCTACATTGGCCACAAGCTCTTCATCTTTATCATCTGGTTCATCACTTTTTCAACAAAACAGCAGAAACAGTTTAAAAAAAAAAACAAAAAAACAGACAAGCTTTAATTAATGAGAGTTAAAACCAACTCTAAAAATGAGGTAAGAAATGAATGTTACAGTATGATGTACTGACATTTAGAAAGGAAAGAATGGCAATAAAAAAAAGGAAGCTTTGCTTCTCACACTATTTCATGTTAAAATATGAATTGCAAATGATGCCTAAAGACAACTTATCTATCAATAACCAAGAAGTCCTACCTTACCATGAAATAGAAAAAAAAAACAAAATCCATTGCTGTCAAGTTGATTCTGACTGATTGCAGCCCTGTAGGACAGAGTAGAACTGCTCTATAGGGTTTCTGAGGACGATAATCTTTACTGAAGCAGACTGCCACATAGGTTTCCTGTGGAGCAGCTGGTAGGTTTGAACCACCAAATCTGCAGCCAAGCGCTTAACCACTGCGCCACCAAGCATCCTCCATGACTTACTGTTGTTGTGAAGTGCTGTGGAGTCAATTCTGACCCATAGCGACCCTGTATAGGGTTTCCGAGGAGCAGCTGGTGAGCTTGGACCACCAACCTTGCAGTTCAAACAGCTCTGCAGTCTGGCGCATAGAGTCAAGTAATTTCATAAAATTTAATTCAAAGCCAAAATATTCTAATTTGGTTTTAGATAACATAGCATTTGTGTTATCAGAGAATGCTATGAATAAATAGGCACTTCTTAATACTTCTCATTGGTATTTACACATGCTTTTAAGAGTACATTTTCCCTATGCTTTTCATATTTATGGAATAAGACTGCATCTAAAAACAAAAGCAAAAAACAAAACAGAAATTCTGTAGGAAGCAAGCTCTTTTTAATGGATAATTGGTAGAATGCAAAGGAACGAGCAGAGGAGCAACACATGCATACAAGAAGCCCATTTTGCCATTAGATGTCAGTCAACTCTTTAGCATAGTGGAATTTTTCCATGAGATGTAAATTTGTCAAGCAGAATCATGTCAAAATATAAGAGAAAAGAAGTTGGTACATATTGCGCTGCAACCCACATTCTTTATATGACTCATGCATTAGTGGTGAAAGACTCATTGGTTTTTAAGTTTCTGGTCTGGACCAACCTGTCTGATGTTGGAAAGGATAAACTGTCGTCATACAAATCTCCTTCTAAAGCAAGACTGCTCCAGCTACTGCTGTTACCATTACTGCCAGGGGGAAGAAAAGAACAGAGCTGAACCAGAAGATGAATAGGAAAGATGACCTTTGTTTTTCTGGGAACAGCTTCTGTCTGTAGCAAACACAGATGTTCTGACGCTGCCACAAAGGCGTGGGCTGTCCATGGAGGCCAAGAGAGGTCATCACCGCTACCCTGAATGGTACTTGGTCCGGAGATTCAGGAGATATTTTTCCTTGTCCTCAAAAGGCCAGGAAAATTATTCTAAACTTAACTTTTATTTTTCTGGGTAATGCAAACACCGTGCCTTTTAGGACAGCAAATGAATGAATAAAGTTAAGAACTTTCACAATGAATAAATGTCTTTTGGCAAACTTGGGATTTAACGTGTAAAATCAATTATTTTCAGTTTGGGTACAGTTTAAAAAGATTCTTTAAAACAGGTTAACTTTCTCTCAGGTCTTTAGATGGTACAATCTTGGACATTTTGGTTGGGATGGGATAGAAGACACCAAAACACAGCCCCAAACAGACCTTTTCTATTTGGAGCTTCCTGGTTTTAAAACGTTCTGGCAATGATTTTTCTTTCATATACTATGGATGATTCAATAGGTGGCCAATAACATACATACATTTTTTAGAATAAAGCAAAAATGAGTTAAGCTCAAGTGAGAATTATACTTGTGTCATTGGCCAGTCACTAATGCCACAGGTAAGTTTTATACTATCTAGTCAAAAGAAAAAGGTAAAAAGCAAGAGCTATATGGATAAAACACTCAAAGAAAGCAATCACATTCTAAAACTGCTGCAAAGCAATAAATAAAAAGCAACTGTGCTCAGAAACAAAATTAAATATAAAATTTTCAGACTAAACTTTACTTCAACATGCAATTTAAAAAAAATTCTATCCTTTAAAATAATTAGTAAGCACATTAGTTTGCAGTGATAAGCAGTTATATTTTCCAATATGAGGTTGTAAAGACTAGGCAATTACAAAACTCAAATTTCCAGTTCCAAAATATGAATGAACATAAAACCATTTTAAATGTTCAGAAGATTACCCAAAAAAGAAACAAACCCACTACACTTGATGATCATTTAAAGTTCTAAATAGTTTCTATGCAACCTCAAACAATTTATAAATCTGAATTCACTTTTTTAAACAAACCTACTGTCATCAAGTCAATCCGACTTATAGGACCCAAAGATTTCCAGCCTCTGAAACCCTGTACAGGTTCGCTATGAGTCAGAACCGACTCCACAGCACACAGCTACCACCACCAAAACACAGTAACCCCCATAGGGTTTCTGAGGCTATAAATCTTTACAGGAGCAGATAGCCTCATCTTTCTCTCTCAGAATCACTAGTGCTTTGAACTGCCATCCTTGTGGTTAGCAGACCAATGCTTAACCCACTACAAGGGCGCCTTAATATTCCCCTTAGCACTATCAAACTATCGCAATGAAAACCATAATGTATTAGAGAATTAAAGTTAAAACTGAGGAATGTCTGCTTAACATACGCTTCCAACACACAGCGACTCTATAGAGGGTTTCAGAGGAATGACTGTTAGGGTTAAACCACTGACCTTGTGGTTAGCAGTCTGATGCTTATCCTACAGTGCCACAAGAAGACTATTTACATATAACTTATGCACATCTTTCTGTATACTTTAAGTCATCTCTAGATTCCTTATAATACCTAATACATTGCAAACATTATGTAAACAGCACTGTCCACTCCTCTTAGCCTTTGAGGGACTGCTTTGATCACAAGATTGCATTTTTTTTTCTCCCAATATTTTCAATATGCAGTTCGCTGATTCTGTGGATGTGGAACCCGCAATATAGTCAAACAAATACAACTCTATTTTAAAACCATCAAGACAAGCAAGGTTTTGCCCACGTAGTCTGTTGTCAGAGAAACCAAAATTGAGAAAATATAAAAAATACAGAAGGTACAGACAGCTGGAGCCCAAGAGAGAGAAAATGATTGAGATATTACTTAACAAAAGAATATCAAAGTTTAAATCCTTACCCATAGTCTAATAACAATAATGACTCCTCCATTTAATTAATAAAAATCTATCACCTAAGTATAGGAGAATATGAAAACATATATATATATATATGTTGTTGTTGTTAAGTTACGCACATCCATTGAGTTGGTTCTGTATAGGGTTTCCAAGGAGCAACTGCTGAGCTTGAATCACAGACCTTGTAGTTCAAACGGCTTTGTATTCTTGTGCATTAACCCACAGCCACACCAGGACTTCGTGTGTGTGTGTGTGTGTGTGTGTGTGTGTGTATGTGTATATATGTATTTTACACAATGTAAAAATTAAAAACTCCTTTTATCTAACCCTGTTCCTCCATTCCTTTTGTAGCAAAAAACGTCATATTTGAAATCGTTTATACAATGTCACATCTAAAAAGGGTGACCATATAAGTTTTCATCCAACCAGGGCACTTTTTGAAAATAAATCGTTGGCAATAATTACATCAACAGCAGAATTAAGCCAACACCATAGCAAGCAGCCTCCCAATGTTCCATTCCGTTGTACAGACTGACATGACAGCACCTAACAACATTCCCAGGTAAACCGCAGCGTATGGTCGCTCTACTTTAGCACAAAATGGAACTATTTAATTACTGTCTTCCTGTTGCATTTTTTTAACACTGTCTGCCCTGCATCCACCATTTTCTTTTTGCCTTTTCATATCTTCTGTGTCTAGAACAAGCATACTTAAAACTTCACAGGCGGGGTAGTCAAGTACTAAAACTTTCTATGGCTCTCACTCATATGAAGACTATTAATTCTGATGCATTTCATAAAAATGACCTCAAAAGTTCTCTAAGTCTGACTCACCTCTTACCTTATCTACTGTATTACTTCTCAGGGGTTCACACATATTTTGGGGAATGTCCATATAAAGAAGTTACTGTTTGTTCTCACTTCCTACTGAGAGCACAAGTGCAGGGTGGGTCCCCAACTCTGAAGTTCCTTAACTTCAGAAACGAGCAATAGGTACTGCAGATGCCACCAAAAGACTTAGTGGTGTAGAGCAACCGATCCTAAAGTGCGGCTACGACCCACCTGTACGGCACTCATCCAACATGCAGACCTGACTGGTAGGTGAGGTCCTGGAAGCTGCAGTAAGCACGCACACCACCAGCCCTGGATGAGCCTGCACTCTCAGGTGCAATGCCTAGACCTTACCACCAATCATGTGTTAGCTCACACTGGACTGTGGCCAATTAAAACTGCACTTCTTTTTCTGACAGAATGTCAGCTTTCCCCCACTCTTGAATTCAAGTGATTTTCTCAATCTAAACGCATTTATTGTTGTTTAGGGCCATCAAGTCGGTTCCAACTCATAGCGACCCTGCATAGAGTTTCTGAGGAGCGTCTTGTGGGTTTGAACCACAGACAGAGCTTGCGGTTAGCAGTCCAGTGCTAATCATACAATGTCACACCAGAACTCCAAAATGCATTTACCCAGGTTAAATGCAATTATTTTAGTCTCCACCTGACTGGCCCTTTTGAACCTCAGTATTATTAACAAGATGATCTTTCCAGCCTTATTTGTCATCCACAGTTAATGGGTAGTCTTCATAACTGGTAAAAGAATGCTAGAGAGGTAAAACCAAGGGCAGAGTCTGGCAGGCTCCTCCTTCTTTTTATCAACTTTGGTGACATCCTGCAGAGAATTGTTTAACTGGCTCTGAGTCCTTGAAATGCCATGAGGCTTTAACTGTAGTGCCGTTCTAACACCTGGATTTCCTAAAACACAACTTGCACCCAAGTCCAAGAAGCCTCTGTGTTTCTCTAAAGATCCAAGAAGAAACAAAGTGTTTACTTTCCACTCTAGATAAAGATCTGCACAAGGGTCTTATGATTTGTGATGAAGTCCCACTTCCAGTTTCAAACACGGCCGTTTCAAATCTGGACTGTAAGATATACTGCCATCAAACATAACGCTCAGAGATGATATGTTCTAATAGGTGAAAAGCCATTTTCTTTCCTCATGCGACTTCATTGCCACTTACAATTGTCTTTTTACCTCCCCAGCCTGGTAAGCCAATCCCAAAGATTCCCACAGGAGCCATACATACCAGCCTGAGACTGGAAGTACGCTGATTCTGCTTGCCTCTCCCTAGATTCAACAATGAATGGTATTTCTCCACTTTAATTATCAGTTAATACACATAAAGCATTTATGAAATTTTATAGGTTATTCAGAAATGCCATTACGAATATCAGAAACAATTTTTTCATAATAAGCCAATAGTCTACAAAGACTGCTGTTATTAGCATAGTTTAAAAAAATTATCTATAAAGTAAGTGCCGCCTACTTTACAGGTTAGTTAGTGGTTTTATAATTTGTGTATTTCTAATCATTCAAAAATAAAATCTTTTAAGTCACTTTGTTCTTGAACAGCAGTACAACACAGAGTCCCCACAAAAAAGATTGTGAGCTAATATTAACAAAATTTACAAGATCATCTTGATGCATTTTATAGACAACAACTTTTTCTTACCCACAAAAGATAAAAAAAAGCATCCTCTTTAAAACAGAGAAGAATCCTTTTTCCTGAAAAATTCCTTTAAAGCTCAGGAAAAGGTTAAAGGGTATAAAATCAAATATACACAGTATTTTTCAAATTACTTAATGGCACACTCAAAGAAAGCTAGTTCTACTTTATTTAACAAATGTCACTTTTGTGAATTATGAAACAAATTTTAAAGACAATCGCAGATATTCAAATTCAAGTGTTTCTCATAGTACCAAATGTGAATTCACTGCTTGATTCTGCAGTGTAAGAAACTAAACTCCACAGGAATAAACAAAATGTCAGTTACCTTTCACTTAGGTGATGAAAACTGCTGCTTTCGTCCTGGTGTTCATCTTCAAAACTTAAGTTGGACCAGCTGCCAGTGCTGTCTTCACCAATACTGAGATTCATCTGCTGGCTTCCAAATGACTCAGTTGACTGAAAGTCATCTTTTTCTTTTGAACTACAAAACAGGGGGGGGGAATCTAAACTGTAAAAATCATGGATTCTGAATTATGAAATGATCAGTTGATGATAAGAATCTGTAACCCATCTAAATCCTTTATTTTATTTGTGCCTGCTAACAGCTCTGGTAGCGTAGTGGTTACGAATCAGGCTGTGAACTTTAAGGTCAGCGGTTCGAAACTACCAGCTGCTCCGTGGGAGAAAGATGAGGCTTTCTACTCCCGTAAAGATTTACACCCTCGGAAATCCTGTACAGGGTCGCTATGTGTCGGAACCGACTCAACGGCACTTAACAACAACAACAGACTTCTGGTGCTGTAGGATCAGCACTGGACTACTAATCACAAGATCAGTAGTTCAAACCCACCAGCCACTCCTCAGAAACCCTGTTCTGGGACGCTATGAGTCAGAACCATCTCGATGGCACTTAACAACAACAACAACAAAAAGGCATTCCAGCACAGTATATTAATTTCAAAGTTAGTGAAGGTACCTACCAACATTTATATGCCTGTTAATCCAGTGTGTCTCCACCCCCTGGGCAACATTTACCTAAATTCTCCTTAAAGCTGTTATAATTTCAGCTGGAACCACATGTGGAGAACATACTCCTTAACTTCATGAACTCCATGCAAAGCAGTCCTTTCTCATATCAATATGAAAGGGGACCACTTTCTGAATTTCACACCTGATGTGCTATGTCATTCAGATCAACCAAATCTCCTCAAGAATGTTATCTATGATCAAAACCCTTCTCATTTTTTTTTTTCAATAAAAAGACATTTACATGTTTTATGCCATCTTTGCATAAAGGTCCATTCACTGTTCTATTATTCTAACTGCCTCCGCTCCATGTTTTATTCTAAAGTGGAACTTGTAAACATCAAGTCGGGTAATGTCAGTCATGTGCTCGAAATCTCCAAATAGCTTTTCACAAAACAAAGAGTCCAAATCCTTCCAACTACACAAAGAACAACATACTGCCTGGCCCCTGTCATCAGCCTCTTTGCAGTAACCCAAATTCCCCCAGTCCTACCCCTTGCTCAGATTCCCTTGACTTAGTCTCTCTTCACCTTGGGTTCTTGGCTAAAATGTTAGTCAGTGATAATTCCCTTGATACCCCAATTCAACCTCTCCCCCATCCATCACCCGACTATGGTGGTGCTGGTGGTGTGCTGTGGAGTTGGTTCCGATTCACAGTGACTCTGGCATCAGGTTTCCCAGGCTGCAAATCTTTATACAGGAACAGAAAGCTTCATATTTCCCCTGTGAAACGGCTGGTAGTTTTGAACCGCTAACCATGAGGTTAGCCGCCCGACTTGTGATCACGCTACCAGAGCTCCTTAACACCCTCTAACCCCTTTCCTTGCTGTATTTTACCTGTAAAGCATTTGTCACCATGTGACATGCTATATATTTTACTTACTTGTTTACAGCTCCAAGAGAACGTAGATTTTTGTATGCTTTATCCACTTCTGTAAATTCAGTGCCTAGAAATGCCTTTCTTTTGTATTATTCTCATTCTGTATTTAAAGTATAGTAATCAAAATTATATTGGGCTTCCCAGAGACACACACACTGTAGCCTTGAATCCTACTTGTTGTTGTTGTTGTTAAGTGCTGTCAAGTCGGTTCCAACCCATAGCAACCCTGTATAGGGTTTCCAAGGAGTGGCTGGTGAGCTTGAACTGCTGACCTTGTAGTTCAAATGGCTTTGCAGTCTGGCGCATTAACCCACAGCACCACACCAGGACTCCTTGAATCATAATACAGCCCTGTTACTGCTGTGTGTCGAGTTGGTTCCGACTCATAGCAACCCTGCATAGGATTTCCAAGTAGGAGCTGGAGGGTTTGAGCTGCCACCCTTGTGGTTCGCAGTCCAGTGCTTACTCTACAGTCCCACACCAGGACATTACTTTGTTCCTTTTTATTTTCATATGAAAAATTTTCCTGATATGTATCATAGTTTAATTGGGTTTTTTTGGTTGAAATGACCCACTGGGTGGATTCCAGGGAAGAGTTTATAGGGGTCACTACGTTATTCTTATGTAGAAAGGACAGCTCAAAACACAGTTCAGATGTTGAGATATCTAAATGCACTATCATATATTTTTCCATGCTGACATTCATATATGTCACTGTCTGTACATTTTGTTGTTGTTAAGTGCCATGGAATTGGTTCCAACTCATAATGACCCTGTAATAGGGTTTCTGAGGAGTGGCTGGTGGGTTTGAACCACCAACTTTGTGGTTAGGAGTCCAGAGTGCTTTCATGAATGAAACATTTACAAGAAAACAGCACTTTTTTCAACAATCAAATAATGCCTTTTGAGTTACCCATTGGAATGAATACCCTATTTAAAGTCTGAAACACAGTTTTAATTTTAGATGATAGAAAATGTGAGAGTAAACTGTACACACTAGAGTCAACTCTTAATAATCAGCACTAACAGAACTCCAGCACAATTCTTAAAAAGGGAGAAAAGAAAAGTGCAAGGTAATATCCTATGAGTCTTGATAAATGTCACACTGCACTGATAGGCAAGGCAAGGTGAGAAAAGAGATGAATCAACAGCAAAGGCAGGGAGTGGGAATGGTGTCTTGGAGTAATTCTAGACTAGAGAAGAGTCATAGGAAAATGATAAAATGGCTACAATAGTCTGTGTGAGGAAACCTACTTTAACTATAGCATGTCTTAACTACCATTTACTCATTTGAACATTTTAACCATGTGTCTGTCATTGTACTAGGAATCCGTGTGCAATAATGAATAAAGAAAATGTAGCTCTAGGACAGAGGCTCACAAACATTTTCTTTAAGATGGTAAATGTTATCGGCTCTCAGGCCAGCTTATCTCAGTTGTAACTGCTCAGTTCTGCTACTGTAGCAGAAAAGCTGCTGCAGTAAACGTCTAAGTGAATGAGTGACCATGATCCAATAAAACTCTATCTATGAGCACTGAAATTTATCACAGACATTACCTTCATACCAAAGCCAAAGACAGAATTAGAAAACTATCGACCAATATGCCTTATGACTATCTTCAACAAAACACTAGCAAACCAAAATACAGCATATTAAAAAGGTTATGTATTGTGACTAAGGGGAATATGGATCCTTGGTGTGGTGCTGTAGGATAAGCACTGGACTGCTAACTGTAAGGTAGGTGGCTCAAATCCACCAGCCGCTGCTCAGAAACCCTATGCGGGACCATTATGAGTCAGAAGTGACTTGCCAGCACTTAACAAGAAAGGGAATATATCCAAAGAATGCAAGCATAGTTCAACAATAACAAATCAATTAATGTAATATATCACCCTAAAAGAAAGAAGGAAAAAATAATGATTCCAATTGATGCAGAAAAGCTAGAATAGTATCCCACAGTCTTTCATAAAACACGCTCGATAAAGTAGGATTAAAAAGAAATTTCCTCACTATGATAAAAGCCATACAAGGGTACGTTGAAAAGCATTCCAACAAAATCACAGAAACCTTTATAAACAAAAATAACAAAACGTGAAGTTACTGTTTTTCAATATAGCCTCCCTCCAGCTAGGTCTATATAAGGGGGCTTCAAAAAGCTTGTGGAAAAAGATCCGTTATCTTTTCATTCAATTTTCCACGAATTTTTTAAATACTGTGGCATTGTGGGTTAATGGGCTGGACCACAGTCAGTTTAAACTACAAGGTCAGTTTGAACTGCAAGGTGGTGGTTCAAGCTCACCAACCACTCCCTATTCAGGGTCACTATGGGTCAGAACCAACTCAACGGCACTTAACAGCAACAACAGTTTACTTCTAACAGTGATGTTTCTGTCTCTGACCACTGCGCCCAAATAATTTCACATTCTTCGATTTACATCATATCAAAACGGTTGTTTGGGACACAAATTGTGCTCCTTTTCAATCTTTGAGTTTTGGGGAGCAAGAAGTTTGAAGCAGCAAGATTAGAGGTGAAGAGTGGACGGTGTGAAGTTTTCTAATGAAATTCACATAGGACAGCCTTACTACCCTCAAAGAATGAGCGCATGAATCGCTGGTGTGGCTCTGTGAGTTAATGCACCAGATTGCAAAGCCATTTCAACTGCAAGGTCAGTGGTTCAAGCTCACCAGCTGCTCCTCGGAAACCCTATACAGGGTCGCTATGGGTCGGAACCAACTCGACAGCATTTAACAATAACAACAACAAAAATACCTAGGTGCAACTTTCCTGGCCTTTTTCTCACCAACGCAATTTTTAATTTTCTTAAAACTTCTTTCTAATAAGCCCCTGTGATTGGCCTTTGTCCCTTAAGAAAATCTATCAAGTTCAGTCTCCATAACTTTCTGAGCTGACTTTTATAAGAAAATCTACCAATCCACAGTCTCCATAACTTTCTGAGCTGACTTCTCTGCCCAATAGATCCCCTTGGAAGCCACAGTTCTGGCTGACCATTTTCTGAATACGTTCTACAAGGAGCCTAAGACAAGTATATTACTGAGAGAACTTGTCTGCAGCCAGCTACTGATCACAGAGACATTTTTAAACACTTTTGTTTGGAATAAGCCCTTGCATGTATGACCTAGAACAGCAGCAAAACTTTTTATCTCTCAATGGTGAAAGACTCAAAGTGTTTCTCTCAAGAACGTAAAGAAGATTTTTAAAAATACTTTCACCATTTCTATTCAACACAGGACTGGAAGTTGTCAGAGCAACTGGACAAAAAGGGAAAAAGAAATAAAAGATATCAAAATGCTGATGACACATTTATATAACATTTGTTGTCTAAAATGCTCCCCATTTTTTTTATTCGACTCCACCTACTTCAGAGCTATGTGAACTTGGGAAAATTGTTGATTCTTTCAGTCTTATGTTCTAGCTATGTAAATGGATAAAAACTTCCCTCCAAAAGATCATTGTGGAAACAGGAGACAACGTACATAAAAGCCCCGTGTAGGATGTGAAACAAAATAAACTCGACAGACTATCAATTCCAACTCACAGCGACCCTATAGAAGGTTTCCAAAACTGTAAATCCTATGGGAGTAGACAACACCTCATCTTTCTCACTCAGAGCAGCTGGTGGGTTGGAAGCCCAACATATACTAACAACACCAACAGGGCTCCTTTGAGACAATAAACAAGGACATTTTTTGTTAATTTAGGGCTAATTTCTGAACAGAAATTAGTATATGGTAAAGTATACGTTTCATTTTCTCAGTAAGTTCCAAAAGAAATTTGAAACTTACCTGCTAGCATGTCCAATATTCATCATAGCTGACGCCATGACTTCGGTAGTGAGGCTTTCAGCAAAGCTAACGCCATCTTGTCCAATGCCACTATCCGCTGCCAAACTGGTATTGCTCAGTTCTCTCTCTGCTTTTTCAATAGCTTCAGCAACAATCTTCTCAGCAAGCACTGTCTTCTTATCAAAATTAACATGGACTTCAGGAACATCAAGACGAAAAATTCGAGAATTCTGGTAGATGCTGCTGTATTTTGAATTTGAAACTGGCTTACCACTAGCAACTGCATCCTGTCTGTAAAAGTGCTGAGATGCATTTCCAGTGCAATCGTGGAGCCCTTTAAGATTACAGTACCTGCAAGCTTGACTGACAAGAGGTGACAATTTCTCTGCATAAGTCATCCTATCTGTTGATTCTGTGGTCTCAGAACCTTGCAAAAATGCAGACTCTAAAGTTCGTTCTAAGGTGTCATTCACTACTCTTTTAGCATACTGTTCTATAGCTTGAACGACATTTTCTCCACAACCAAATTCATTTAAGCTGCCAATACTGTGGTAAAATCTGTGATTTTGTGAGGAAGGCTGAAGAGGTGTAGGAAATTCTGTTTCCACTTGAGATTCAGGATCTACATTGCCTCCAGCTTTTTCATAAAGGCAAGAATCTGTTAAGGATTTTGGCAAGCCAACTGTAAACATTGCTAGCTCTTTTTGAACATCTTTTGTTATGCTGTGAGCAAGAGAGTCCGAAAAGCTATACAGTTCGGAGTATTCATTTCTGTACACTTCCTGTGTCCTTTCACAACTCTGATTTTTACAAAAGTAACCTGCCTTCCTTTTACTTTGTCTTTTTTTATCTACTTCCTGATGGTGCTCTTTATTTAAGAACATTAACAGCTCTTTCTTGGTTTTCTCTGGTGAGTCTTGCACAGGCAGCATTTTTGAGTGGCACTTGGTTTTGGCTGTCTTAGCTGCTTCTTGTAATCCTGATTTCACAGACCTATAAGCAAGTCTATTGGCATACTGATCCATTATTAACTCATGATTCCCACCTTCTTGCTTTAGGATTTGAATGATGTGACCTGCATATTCGTCTGTCACACTTTCACAGCTGGGATACTTATAGGTCAGACCTGACATACATGTGTTCAGTGGTAAGGAAAAAACAAACGGGTCCACTTCCTGTTGATGCACTACAGCCTCTATATCAAGTTGGTCACCTCTTTTGAAACAGAAACCATCAGAATAACAACTGTTCTTCCTTTGCTTGGAAAGCCCATAACTTTTAAGTTTTGCCATTTTTTGAGCATCTGTAATCACTTCCGCCGCCATATCACCTGCAAAATTCCATAACGCTTGGACAGTTTCATCGGAGTGACTTAAAAAAATAGGAGGTACATTTGTTTGACTTTGCCCATCTAAGTAAGGGCTTTGAACCTTGGGTTCTTGAAATGCTTTGTGATCTAAGTGAGAAGCTGCCATTTCAGTTGCAAGAGAAATTATGTGAGTAGCTAAGCCTTCTGCAAACTGAACTCTCTTCCCCGAGTCCTCTGGCTTCACTTCCACTTTGGGGTGCTCTTCACCTTCGCTACTTTCAACTTCTTCTGAGAGAGACCTCATGAGCTTTAGCATAAACTCTTCTTTCTCTATAGCATTTTGTTCATTTTCAGACAAACTACCAACAGATGGGTTGTGAGGTGTAGAAGGTGGGGTAGCAGGTGCAAATTCCTTGGCTAGTTCTCCCTTGAGCTTCTTGGTTAACTTCTTGATATCCCATTCGGAACTAGTCTGGGATGGTACTAGAGGAGTTGACGGCGGCGTTTCAGGTATGACATTTCCATCTGTGATTTTCTGTTTATCGTCCACATGCAAACCACCTACACAGGTAAGCACTGTAGATATGACAGCATGGGAATGAGGACACGGGCTTTCTTGTCCAAAAGACAAGGACTCAAGCACAGCATTATTCAAACTATGCTTTACTGGCTTTTCCTTGGCACATTCCTTCAAGTTGGAGTTTTGGGCAGCTGTGGCAGGACATGGTACTGTAGGAAACCCATGCTCCATGGGGTCTTTATGTTCTACAGCACCATCCTTTCCTCCTGAAAGTGCATAACGATCCTGAGCGTCAACAACTTTGGGGAACTTTTCCAAGGTTAAGTGTGACTCTTCTCCAGGAACAGGCAAGCTTTCCTTGTTCACCGCGTTTTTATCTATGTTTACAGTCACTGACTTGCTTTTGTCTATGGAATGTTGAATAATCAATTGAGATAATCGGTCAGCAAACATGTCCTCAGAGCTGGCATCGTCCTGCTGCAGTGCTGGTGGATCATGGTGGAAAGGAAGGCCTTTGCCCTCTACTGCTTTCGTGAAACAGCCTGTGTGCTCGACTGTCTTTGTAGCTCTGCTTGACTTCACAGACTCAAAAGTTTCACTGACGATTGTATGTACCATGGCTGCAGAAAAGTTGCTAACAATTGCAGGCTCGATTGTCAGTTTTGAATAATTTTGTATTTCAGCATCATCATGTGTTGGTCTGAAATCATTCTGGTTGCTCTGATTGTGTTCTGAATCTGAAGGTAGACAAACATTTCTGAAACACGCTACTTCCCCTTCTTTGTTGTGCATGGTCACACCAGTTTGGGCAGAGTCACCACCTGAACTACTATCATCAGATGACAGAGGAGACTGTCTCTGATTCATATCAGAGGAAATATGATATGGGAGAAGGGCACTTCCAGCCAAGGGTACGGGTATAGAAGTGACAATTCCAGAAGTACAAAACAAAGCCTGCTGTATTGTGTAATCTTTTTTATATTCCTGCCCTGGCTTTGCCACCATAAATGCTTGATTGTTAAAAGTCGGGGAAAAGGTGAAGGTCTGTGTTGATGGCGCTACATTTTCTGCACTCACATGCTTTATGTTATCTGTAGAAACACTAACTGCTGCTTTTGTTGTGAAAGTCACATCAACTTGTGAGAGCTCAATGAAGGCTTCCTGTATGACAGATTCAGACAAATCTTTTGCATATGACTTCACTACTTCATCTTCGAAGTCAAGCCTCTGACACTGTGGAGGTGCAGGTGTGGGAGGATACGAAAACTGGTACACTTCCATGACGCCTTCGAAAATCAGCTCTTCAGCAAGATCTGCAGCAAACCGAGCCACTGTGTTGGTGAAGATCTGCTTCTTGACATACTGCAAATCTGTGAAAGCATTGGATAAAGCTTCACTCACCAGGAAGTTCGCCAGGCCCCCAATGGCATGCTCTTTCAGGGAAAATGCATGCTGTCGTTTCAGTTCATTAAATGCCATGTGAAAAATGGATGATGTCAATTTGAGAGCTAAGTGGCACAAGGCATTGGTACAGGAAGAGACACCTTTCTGTAAGTCTTTGAATGCACTGCCAAAACTTTTTTCCACAAGATCTGCTGCAAATTTCTGAATGCTAAAGGACTTATTGTTAGATTTGTTGTTTTGATCAAGGTTCCCAAGCTTCAGAGCTACTGTTTTATAGTCTCCGCTTTTGTTGCTATCACTGTCTGATAATGCATTAGTATGCGGGGTATGAAGAACTGAATCGAGTAGTTTGCATGAAACACGATTTGCATAATCCTCATAAGCATAATAAATTGAATCGTGGTTTTCATGAACCCCATCTCCACCAATATGCGCTTGGCAAACACAGTCAGCAGTAGTACAGCCTCCAGGAGGACTGAAAGCAGAGGACCGAATGGGGCTAAACAAGCCACTGTCTTCCCCAGATGCCTGCACCGGGCGAGGAGACTCTGGAGCGTCACACAGGTTACTGTATGGGGACTCTGGTTTCCGTGGAGTTGGTTTTCGAACATTAGCTGGCAGAGCTGGACAACTGAACTTGAACTTTTGAGGATTCATTGTAGTGGTTACAGAACAAGATTTTTCATGTTTCTGCCCTTTCTTCTGCGAAGGCTTCCCTTTGGTAAACAGACAAGACGTTTCTAAAGTCTGTTCTAGTTCATCAAACTGATCAAAACTGTCAAAGAACTCGCTTACTTCTGAATCTGAATCCTCTATATCATCTTTCATCACAGGGATTTTAGGAAGCTCGAGTTTTGCTTTTAAACTTTTTTGATATCCCTCTTCGTCCAAGAAAATAACAGGACTTGGACTGGAGCATTCTGACTCAGAAGAATATGCAGGAGTAGAAGAAAAAACCATTTTCTGTACTTCACTACCTTTATCTGAAGCATTAGTAGACCTATAGAAACTCCTTTGGATCCAAGGCTCAGAAATTGAGGTTGTGACTGACACTTTCACAGAAGGTAGCTCTTTGTGTCCCAGGATATTTACTAGGGAAGTTGAGGGTTTAGCCAATGACTGCTGCCCAGAGCTCACCAGAAGCCTTAGATCCTGGGCTCCCAACTGGTGCCCAGAATTAGTCTGTGAAGCAGCATCACACTGGCCCCTTAATGCAGAAATGCTGATTCCTAAAGAAAAGGGTAAAATCATTGAATTTTTATAAATTAACTTAAATCAGTAAAATGACTTTAAAAACATGAGATAACTATAAGTTTTCTAAACTACACTGCTGAGTAGATTCATCCCAATTCACATTTGGAAGCAAATACACTTCTTAACTAAAATAATTTTAATTCTCTCCTAAGTCTTGGGGATGTATGGTGTATTGGTATGTTCAGCATGTTGTTCTGAACCTTTCTCTTTCAGCTCATTCTTCTCAAACTCAGAGCAGACACTTAAGTTAATGGAATAGACAGTGCTTAGGTGGCACACCTCAGAACAAACAGAAATAGCAAAACTAAAAACTAGGTAATGATAAACTTAAAAACAGCAACAACAAAATTAATTCCTCAAGCAGAAAAAAAATGTTAAAATGCTCAAACAGCATCACATTTCAAAATTAATCTTAATTGAACAAATCTGCCTTAAAATTTTCAAATGTGAACTTTATTAAACTTCCAACCCCCATTTCAAGAAAATGCTTGATAGAAAACGAACCATCATTATATGGCTTTGAAGTCTCATCTTCCTCTAAGTGTTCAAAAGCAGTGACAAAGTCGTCCTCTATGGAAGACACGGACTGGCTGGTGTCGTCATCGTCTCCATAGGTGGTCTCAAGTTGGCCCTTGTGATGCAAGCATGTTTCCAGGGTATATCTTATCCCAGTCGCATATTTACTTAGCAGACTGAATATAAAATCGATTCTGAGTCTTGGTACAAATGTGGGTGACACTCTCATGACGCAAAGCATTCCAGAAGGATGACTCTTGGGGAAGATGACAGATGGTAGAAAACAATTTCAGTTTCAAATATTAAGCACTATCAAGAACTAAAGCCTCGATATATGACAACCTTAGAAAAACACAGGAAAGGCATGAATCGCAAAAATCTCCCTGGCTTTGTAGAGTTTAATTAAGGTCTTCATCCTTCCTCTCCAACATCTTTCACTCCCTTTCCCAATCTCTTTCTCAGACACATGTATCAAGTGCCACCCAGCCTATCTTTTGGGGGAGTCCTGGTATGGTCCTGTAGGAAAAGCACTGGACTGCTAACCACACGGTCAGTGGTTCAAACCCACCTGCCGCTCCTTGAAAAGCCTACAGAGGGTGAGTCAGAACCAATTACATGGCACGTAACAACAACAACATTTTCTTTTTAAAGGATCCCTGCTGTTGCTGTAGGGTAAGTACTAGTACTGGACTCTCCTACAATAATAAAAGAACTGTCCCTCCTTTTACCTAAAAAAATCAACAGGTTTTTTTTTTTCCCTACACATAGTATCTTAAAAATGCAAATGTTGAAAAAGTATTTAATTTAAAAAACCTAAAAAATATATTTAACAACTAATCACATCTTAAATCCTAACAAACAGAGAACAGTAAAGATGAATGAATATGATACTTTTTTTTTTTTAAAGAACAAAATGAAGGATATAAGGCAAGCAATTCTACTTCCACCTATAGCTCTTGTAGAGAATGCAGTGTCTCTTAAACCTGGAATAAATGATGCTACATTGGGACCTGAAGGCCAATTTGTAAATGTTTTACCTCCTAAAATGCAAATAATTTTTATCTAATGCATAATTAGCAAACAAGCAAAAGCTGGATGTTATAAAATAACTGTCTGAAACAATGGAACATTGGATGTTCACATTATGAGATTTTTCTTAATGTGAAAACTAGTGGAAGTACATTCTTTAAAGCACAATATATTGTCATAAATGTGAGAATGGCCATAAAAAGGAAAAGTCTCTATAGCTTATGCAAAGATCGAAATTCAGAAATAATGAATTTTCTGAAGAAAATAAATTAATATGTATTTTCACATCATTTATGCAACTCCATATGCAGAAAATCTAATTTATAAGCTATAACCAAAATGATTCTATCCTTCAATAATTTCAATGCCTTGTGAGTTAGGATTCTTATGAATATTTAACTGAGATAGCATTTAATAAAGAAAGAAAGAAAAGAAATTTAATTCAAGCATTTAAAAGTTTAATACTCTGGACCATTATAAAATTTGCCCTGAAAAACTCATTAGAAATGATCTTTTAAAAAATACTACCTGATTCCGAGAACCACTGTTTATTTCTGATGATTTTTTTATATCCTTCAGACATATAATTTCATTTTCATTTAGACTGCAGAAGTGAAGTGAATTCAGAAGATCTGGAAGTTCCAAAGAAACTGCCGCTAAATCCTAATTTAAAATAACAACACAATAAATGACACTCTAAGATTCTTATAATGTAGACCCTATGCAAATATCACAAGTCAACTGGTTAACCATTTTCCTGATTCATAGTTAATATATTCAACTTATACTTTTAAAGAACAGAAAATATTTATATTTCAATACTAAATAGTCCTGTAGCCCTTCAACATACAGAAACCAAGCAATTAAAAATATTCTAAATTGTACCTCCCACATTTATGACAATTAGACAATTAAGTATGTTTAACAAATGTCAACCTACAGTTCACAGGTTAAATTTTGGAATTTTTCATACAGGATTCTTGCCAATATGCTTCTTCAGTGCTTAAGTTTCAGATTTCTAAAATACAAACCCATGATTCTGCCTTTCCTCTCCATGGTATTGTACTAAGTAAGCCTTGAAATAAAAATTTGATAAAGATGCAAAGGAAAAATAAACTGTTTTCTGTTGCTATTTTTGCCTGCCCTTTTTGTGTAAATAGTTTACACAGCTGAAGTTTTTTAACCCTTGACCCCTTTACAGTACTATCTTTTGCAGAGTAACGTGGTTTTCCGGTAATTCTTAGAGGATTTATTAGAGAAACGCTTTGGAATATATCTCTTTCCAGCCTTATGTTCTCAACAATATGTTCCTTTGGTCCAAACCCTTTCCTTCAAGCAACAGTACAATCGTGCCACAGAGCAGTTTCATTAGTAATCACTAAATTACTCAGTAAAAATTGAATTGTGTCATTTCTTTCTTTACTAGAAGATTCCTTAATGCCACAAAAGGAAGCACAGGCAATGATGAATTCTGCAAGAAGCAGCACAAGGCAGAAGTCTGCCTATCACCCACACACACTCACGCTTCAACCACTCTTTACATAACTGCTAAACTCGCCTTTGCTAATCCTAATCTCAAATATCAGTTCCTTTGTAAATATTTGCCTAAAGCAAACAGGAGAAATGTCTTATATTGGCTAATTATTACCTTTTAAGTTTCACTCTACCTCAATCAAAAATGTGAGATTTCTCCCTGTAGAGGCCGGGCTACAGAAACCATCTAAATTAAAAAATCAAACCTTAACTGCCTTTATTATACACAGAGTGAAGATAAAGTCAACCTGTGGTCTGCAACCTTCTCAGATAAGCGACCTTTGTGGTCTTCTAACATATAGCTGCCCTTGGTTATAAGACTCCAGTGAAAACACAAGAAGAAAAGTGAGAACGTCCAAAACATACTCAGAAATTGACCTCAATTAAACAGGAAAAATACCAGAAGAGTTTAGTGTAAATTTTAGGCTACTATGGCAAGTTTTTCAGTCTCAAAAATCTCCAAATAGTCTCTGATCATTCTCTTCAGTTCAGTAAACTGATCTTACCTGTATATGAGCAGCATCTGCTTCTTCATTAAAACCTAGAAATGTGACCTGAATAAAATAAAAATAAAACTCCATTAATTTGAGGACTCAAGTTTTGTTTTGTTTTTTTCCTGTTTCTTTTTTTTTTTTTAAGCTTTTATTGTGAATTGAGTGATTAGTTTACATAGGAGAACATCAGTTTTACACTCATCATTTCATTGCAATGATTACAATCTCCTCTGTGTATCATCATTCAACAGTATTTGCTTCTATTCTCTCTGTCTGTTGTTGTTGTTTTTTTTTGGGGGGGGGGGATATACACAAAAACACTCAGGAATATATAATCATTTATACAACCAAAGGACACATTCTGCAAGCCTGTACCCTGGCCACCAGCACCTGGCTGCCAGCATACAGCTTTTCCCTTTCCATGAGTCTAGAGGAGGACTCAAGTTGTGTCTCATATTTTTGACAAAGCTAAAAAATAGGGAAAAAGCACAAATGCATAAAAATGTTGACTGTGTTGGACTGGATGAAAAAGGTCTTTCATCAAAGACTAGGCTCCACAATGCGGTTCTTGAAACACCCCCTCATCAACCTCATAAGTACGTTCAATCAATTCTACCTCCAACACATTATTTCAAATAACATTCCTGTTTCTGCCTTCTCTCTGCCACAACTAGCGACCTGCACTATACCTGTCTTCCCCCACGTGATCGCCAATACATGTCCTGTCACTTCCCTGTCTTAAACCTTTCCGTGACTTCCCAGTGCAATGTCCTGACTGACGCCCCCAAGCTTTGGGTCAGCTGGGTCTTCAAGCCTTACCTCGTTTCATCTAACACATGGGCTGCCTTTTGGGGTCTGGAACATGTCTGGTATTTTCTTGCCCTCAGGCCTTCCCAGTATGGCCCTGGCTACCTCAAGCCTTCTTTCTTAGATCCTTACATGGAGTTATGGATTAAACTGTGTTCCCCCAGAAATGTGTGTCAACTTGGCAGGGCCAAGTTCTTAGTTTTATGTAATTAGCCTCCATTTTGTGATCTGATGTCATTACCATGCATGTTGTCTCACCTCCACAATGGTAATGAGGCAGAATCCCATCTACAGGATTCTGTTTATCTTGAGTCACTCTTTTGAAATATGAAAAGGATTAAACAAGTGAGCAGAGCTCAGAGGAACCCCTGGGGTTCCTGTACTGGACACCTCCTTGAACCAAGAGACTCAAGGGAGAAAAGCCCTTTCCCTAGGGCTATGGAAGTGGAACATATCCTTTGGATATGTTCTGGATATGTCCCTGTACTGGAGGCATAGACAGAAAGAGCATTTCCCTAGGACTGATGCTCTGAACTCAGACTTCCAGCCTCCTGAACTGTGAGAGAACAGAGGCGTCTGTTAAAGCCACTCACTTGTGGTACTTCTGTTATAGCAGCACTAAGTAACTAAGACACAAGCCTAGCAGAGAAAATAAATAGGTGAACAAGTTAGCTAGCTACCTTATCCCAAACTCAAACAGACTCAGTTAACAGAGTATCTCAATTTCCAAATAAATATGTACTACTTTAAATAAAAGTATTAAACTGAAAGTTAAGAAAATTGACCATAACCAAAAAATTAACTTAAGAATGTTTCAGAGTAGAAAGTTTTACTGAATATAGTAGTGAACACTTATATAGCTTTTTTCAAAACCAATAAGTTGTTAATAATGCCCATTAACTGAATTAAACATTCTGATTATAAGTTAAGACAAATACGTTAGCTGCTATTTTTAACAGGTACTTCAAATAGATGTATTCAAATGTAGAGATCGTAAGTTTTTCACTAATAAACCATTCAGACCTTCGAAGAGACATGAAAATAGATGGCATGTTCTTAGAAGAGCCTAGAAAGTAACATGTCAAACCTCCGTCACATTGGTGTGTTCATCCTGCTTCAAGCAGCTCTCTGCTGAGACACTGCATAGTTCCTTCTCACTCTGTAGTAGAGACCTTACAGACTGGAGCACACCATCGCTGAAGCTCTGAAAGAAAAGACATCCTTAATGTAGCCCATTCTAAAACATGGCAAAGGGTCCTGGAGATACTCTAGTGCCAGACAGAATGTTACTGCTTCTCTAACAAATACTCATTAGTGTCTTCTGATAATTCACGCAGAACTCAATTCAGCTGAGGAGACAAAAAGCTCTGTGTTCACTTACCACACGCCCAAAACACACACACCAAGTCTAAGCACTCAACTCCCTGTCATGCCAGACTCACTTCATCTGAACAAAGTGGTAAGTATAATCCAAAAACCCAAACCTATTGCCACTGAGTCAGTTCTTTATAGTCTGACATAAATAGAACATGAACCTTCTAACTTACTCCACTTCCACTGATTGGCTGATCTGCTCTTCTATCTGTCCCCATGGAAATCCTGCCCACCGCAAGACCTGTGAAGATTTTTCCATTCCTTCGTCATAATACATCTTTCTGAAAGCTCTTACTGAATTTGCTGTCTGCACATACAGATCACTCCACATATACTGCAATGTATTCGTATTACTATACTCCTGTCTTGTCTGTCTTCCCCACACGTTACACTAAATTACTCAGGTTAGAAACTCTATTTTATTCATTTTATTGCCACAGATTTCAGTTCCTTACACATTGCAGTGGCACAATAAATGTCTGCTAATTTGTGGCATGTAGCGTAGTGGTTACGAATCGGGCTGCGAACCTTAAGGTCAGCGGTTCGAACCACCAGCCCCTCTGCGGGAGAAAGATGAGGCTTTCTACTCCGTAAAGATTTACACCCTCGGAAACCCTGTACAGGGTCGCTATGGATCGGAACCGACTCAACGGCACTTAACAACAACAACAATTTGTGGCACTGTAGGATAAGCACTGAACTGCAAGGTTAGTTTGAACTGAATGGTCAGTGGTTCAAACTCACCAGCCGCTCCTCAGAAACTCTATGCAGGGTTGCTATGAGTCAGAAGAGACTCAACAGCACTTAACAACAATTTTAATAAATTCAGCATTAATGAAAAACTTCCAAGTGCAAGAAAGATATAAATATGAACTAAAAAAGGGGGGTGTGAAATGCTAAGTCTGAATCTGAACTGTCAATAGTGCCTTTTTCACTTAAAGGTCCTACAAGCAATCATCCTCAGGAGTAAGGAGCATACATACTGCACTCAGAATTTGCTTTCTAAATACCATTACCCAATAAAAAGAACTCAAAAACATGTCTGGTTCCAAGACTGAGGCAAAGACAGTCTGCAGTGAGTCTGGAGTGCCTTAGTGTGGCAGAACGCACAGCAGACTCATTGGGTCTTTCACCTGAGAACATGAGGCAAAGGACTTCCTGCTCATCAAATTTAGGACAACGGGGCAACAGAAAGAATGAAAAAGCTAACAGAACACAGCTACAATATTTTTAAAAAATCTAAAGTCTAATAAAAAGGGGCTAAGAGCATCAAACTCTACTTAAGGATGCAGCTAAGAAAGAAGGAATGACCATTAGAAAAGCCCTTTGTAACCCCAATGTAATCACTGATTTTGGACAAGATCTAAGTATCCTAAAACCACTGGGTTAAAAGCTGTTTAAGAACAGGATACTTACATGGTCTCAAAGTATCACTCTTCACATTACTTAATAATTGAATTAATTCCAAAAGGATTATGTGTCTTTATATTGGCGATGTCTGGTAGTTCCAACTTTAACCAACTGCTCAAGAGTGGCATCAGCACTCTTGATGTGACAGACTGAGATATTCTTACCAAAGCTAATTACAGGAGAAACAGATGAGCCCAGAATATGAGGCTGTCATATAGCACAGCTGGCTTGGACTCTTTCAAAACTTGTCATGAGAGAAGGCTCAGGCATTGGGAATGGTCTAGATTGGGAAAGATCAAAGAAATAACAATAGCCAAAAGCAGTGTGTAAACCTTGACTGACTCTTACAGCAAGGGAAAACTGACAAGGGCACTTGAGATAATTAGGGGACTCTTTGTGCATGCTCTGGGAGCGTAGTACTTACAAATCGGGCTGCTAACCTCAAGGTCGGCAATTTGAAACTACCAAGCTGTTCCACGGGAGAAAGATGACATTTTCTGCTCCCATAAAGATTTGCAGCCTTGGAAACCCTGTACAGGATCGCTATGAGTTGGAACCGACTCCACAGTACTTAACAACAACAACTGAATTAATGGGAGTCCCTGAATAAGGCAAATACTTTAGCATTCAGTTGCTAACCAAAAGGTTGAAGGTTTGAGTCCACCCAGAAGCACCTTGAAAGAAAAGCCTAGCAATCTACTTCTGAAAAATCAGCACTGAAAGTCCTACGGAGCACAGTTCAATACACCTGGGAACACCGTTAAGACAGAATCGACTCAACAGCAGCTGATACCAATTCTCACATGGGCGATGACGATGGAGTGAGTATGGCAAGATGCTAATTCAGGTAGAGCTGGGAAAAGAATAGATCAGGTGTTCATTTGTACTGTTTTGGCTTTCCCAATTTTTTGTGGGTTTGAATATATTTCAATTTTTCATTTCAACTATTTCATTAATGAGTAAAGGTTTTTCGTCTAAGATACAAACATGAAATCAGAGAAGAAAAAAAAAACATGAAAAGTGAAACATGACTTTGAACTATAGATAAGCTTAGGATACTGTTGGAACAGGGGGCATTTCTCCTACCCAAATGCTGATTCCTAAATACTATTCAGAGCTCTTTGAAGAAGTATCTAATGCCAGGTCAGGGGAAGAGAACGTAGAAGATGAAACCAGGGCATTCTGTTATACCAGAAAGCTCTCAAGGAATTAGAAACTTGGGCAAAAGGACTCAGAGATGAGCTTGGAGGAGCCAGCAGATACCGTATGGTTCAATTTGGACAACTTAAAATGAATGAATGGATGATGGCAAATAAATAAAATTTTGACAGCAAAACATTGAGCTCAGAGCAACAGTCAAAAATAATTGAATCAATAAACGAATAAAGGGAAGGATCTGGGTAGAAAAGCAATAAACTCACTTACCAAGTAAGTTTGAATCTGAAAATTGGTAAATAAAGGGCATTTATCTTGCTTTTCTTAGTGGTGCAGTAGTTACATGCTCGGCTGCACACCAAAAGGTCAACAGTTCGAACCCACCAGCAGCTCTGTAGCAGAAAGATGTGACAATCTGCTACGCAAAGATTTACAGCCTTGGAATCCCTGTTGTTAAGTGCCATAGAGTTGGTAGTTGGTACCGACTCACAGCAACTGTATGCACAACAGAAACACTGCCCGGTCCTGGGCCAACCTCATGATTGGTCCCACGCTTGAGCCCACTGATGCTGCCACTTTGTCGATCCATCTTGCTGGGGGTCTTCCTTTTTTTCTCTGACCCTCCACCTTACCAAACATGATATCCTTCTCCAGTGACTGGTCCCTCTGACAATATGTCTGAAGTATGAGAGACGAAGTTTGGCCATCCTGGCCTCCAAGGAGCACTCTGGCTGCACTTTTTCCAAAGCAGATGCTTGTTCTTTTGGCAGCCCATGGTGCTTTCAATATTCTCCCCCAACACCATAACTCAAAAGCATCAATTTGGTCCTACAGGGTCACTTTTGAGTCAGAATCAACTCAGTGGCACTAAGTTTGGGTTTGATATCCTGTTTTTTTCCAAGATACCATAGAACATCCAAAGTTAATGAAGGAAAGCTCTTCGTAAGAATGGCATTGAATGAACAGAAAAGGACTGATAGAATTAGGAAAACATCATTTTGCAACACCCACAAAATAACAGATTCAGGCAAAGGTCATCAAGGGATGCAAAAAAATTAGGTAAAATGTTGTTGAGAAAAACACGATTAATTACATATGGTCAAACAATCATGTCACAGGGGACTTACTAATTAAAAAGAACAAAATGCACTTTTACAATGGAGAGACAGAGCTCAGGCAGGGTTACCACATTAATTAATTGATCAATCTAGGATCACTGACAGCAGGAAAACCTGGAATTCTATCCTCATATCAGTCTATATTCGTGCCCCAAATGTTTAACCTGAATTCAATTAAGCCTTCATACCTAACTTTCAACTTATATATGAAATACAGAAAAGCGAAACACAAGTTAAATTGCACCATGAAACAAGAGACAAATTCAGAATGTTGGACATTCTACAAGAAACTAAGGCCAATTAGATTCAAGAAGTCAGTCTTGAATTAAAAAAAAAAAAAAAAAAGAGGGGAGAGGCCTAAATTGGATCCATAAATAAGGGATTTTATGGTGGTAGTCAAGGGTGTCCATAAAAGACATGTTAGGGATAATAAAGGAAATTTGGGTGTGGGTGGCTGGCTATTCGATGTTAGGGCATTATAGCTACTTTTCTTGGCTATGACAATGGTATTGCTATGTGCCAGGATGTTGTATCCTTAAAGAACCATGCTGAAGAGTTGAGGACTGAAGAGATGTTATGACGTTATACCTTCCTAACGGTTCTGCCAAAAAACGCATACACACAGAGCAGATAATTCAAAATACTAGCAACTGTTGAATATAGGTAGTAGCTACATACGCAGATTTACATGTGAATGCACTGTTGTTTTAACTTTCCAAATATATTTGAAAATTTTCATAATAACATGTTAGAAAAAAATGAAGAGTAGAAACTGTGGTTACTTTTGATTTTCGTAACACTTAGTTTCCCATAAATAATCACTTTATCGCTATCTTTCTTGCAAAGTAAAATGAAAGCTTTCAAGAATCCCCAAACAGCTTTCCCTATTAGCCAGAGCACGGTGGTAGTGGTGGTGGTTGTGTGGTGTCAATTCCAACTAACAGTGACCCTGTATTAGGGTGTCCGAGGCTGTGAATCTTTACCGGCTGTAAATCTCTCTCAGGAGAACAGCTGATAGATTGGTTAGCAGCCCGACTGGTACCCCAATACGACAGCAGGGCTCCTTCAATAAAGCACTGAAGGTCGTGTATGTGTGTATTTGTGACATACACACATTTAAGCTGTAATATTTGGATTCACATGCTTT